CCTGTCACTTCCGCCTTGCCCTGTCACTTCGGCCTTGCCCTGTCACTATGGTTCTCAGCTTGGTTTCACCTGACTAAATTGCATTCTTTCCTTTCTCTTTGCGGGTCGGCCAGTTCCAGTAGTGGTGACTGGTCTTTCCACATTCCTAAAGAAAGCCTAAAGAATATTTTATATCTAAAAAGGATTCTATATACCCAGTATCCATAACTTTTCCCTCTACACAACAAAAAAGAATGGAAAGGCTGTTTCAGAGCTCTCCTAGAAACAGGAGGAAAGTCAGAAGGCGTCCTCAGTTTCTCTTTGACTCCTAGCTGTCTGTGTCTGTTGTCTGTCCTTGTCGCACCAATGTCCACGTGTGTTAATTGTTTGTTTTTTGTTTTGTTGTGTAAATGGTGTTCTACGTTGCAGGTTCAAAAGACAAAAAATGGTTAAAGCTGCTACATATCCACCTCTTGGTCTAGTTTAACTTTGTTTTAAAGGCAGTCTTAATATACACAGCAGAGGCTGATAAGCTACCCTACACCTGTAGCTAAGAGTTGAGCTGAGCTGAAAAAGCCTTTCCAGGATTTGATTGTTGGCATAAGTTGCTTTTAAGAGAGACCAGTAGCTTTTTGGATTCTATAAGGAAGCTAAGAGTTGTCCTAAAAAAAAAAAAAATCATTGGGAAAAGGGTTCCTTCTCTTGAAATTAGAGCAAAAAAAGCAAGAAATTTTGGTCTAAATATATAAGATGTGTAGCCATTTCATTTTGTTTCTAATTGGTTTTAAAAGTGTAAATATGTTCTACATGTCTTGGTTATAGATTATTGGCTTACAAGTTACTGGGTTTGATTAAAAATTTGCAGCTTTGGTGACAGAAAGTTGGTTTAAAATGGTAACTCAGGGTTGGAGTCATTCAGAAACCAGATGTATAAAAGATTTAAAACAATGTCTCTTTAATGAGATATTAAAAGTTGCACTATCATGCATTCATATATAAGAATTAGTAGCAAAATTTTGTTAACATAAAGGTCATCTATTTGGTGTTGATTTTAGAGAAAATAGATTATTTACATTGTTTTTGCTTCTCAAAATTATGGTTATACTCTTATGTTGCAAAAGAAACTTAAAATATATATGTATATATAGTTAAACTTCCACTTTTCCATTGGCTGCAGTTGGCAGTTCAATTGTGAGTTTAGAATTCTTTGACTCACCCATGTCTATGTTTAAGAAGAAGATAGAGCAGGTAGAGTTGACTAGTAAGGCTATTTTGTCAGGAAGAGATTACTTGATTTGGAGCTCAGATTGGAGTGATACTAGTAAAAATCAGTGCCATGATGAATGCTCAGGCAGGCATGTAGATTGGGATCTTAACATGCTTCTAGGAGAAGGTCAGTGTGAAGGTAATGTTAATCAGGTTGAACTGCCTGCGCAGCTCTCAGACCATACAAGCAAAGACAGACTTACATAGATACATTCGTCTTTGCCCTGAAATTGGGCCCTCATAGAATCAGGATCTGGCCATGGCTTGCACAGAACCGTAAAGATAAAAGATGTTTTAAATGTGGAAATTTAGATCATTTTTAAAATGACTGTCCCAGGAACAAAGGCACAAGCAACAATCAGGTCACTAAGGTCGCGTGCCAGAAATTTGTCCTTGGTGCGGGAAGGGTAATCTTTCGGCCAGGCCTCAGGACATAGGCCAAGATTAAAAACATTTACATTTGAGTTAAGACTTTGTACAGATTGGGTGCAGCAGAAGCTTGTAGTTCAGACATTCCTGTTGTCCTGACATGCCTCTAGAAGGGTGTTTTCCAGAATTTGTTTATTGCCTAGTTTGTTCCTTAGGGAGGTGTCAGCCTCAGACTCAAAAGAAATTCACAACAGCTTATGGGCTAGGAGTTATAATGATTATGCTGGAGGAATTAAAATTGTGCCTGCTTCCCTCCATGGCATTATATGTTGTGCCTGTTAACAAAAGAATTGCTTTAGAGTAAGAGAAGACAAGATTGGCTTTTATCTGATATTCTCCCTCAGCTAAAAGAAATTGGTTATTCAATTAACCCAAAACAAGCTCAAACTTAAGATTTATAAAACTAATGGGACACTACAACCTGACTTGCCTACTCCAGCTGCCATTCCAGTAAATGCATATAAAATTATTATAAATTTAGAAGATTGTTTTATACAGTTCCTTTACCTCCTGGTAAAGGTGAGAGGTTTGCATTAAGTGAATTTACTTGTGATTTTTGAGAGCCCATGAAGCGATATCTTTAGAAAGCTTGCCTCAAAGAATGATTAATGGCCTTAAAAATTTTGTTGTTGCTTTAATACAAAAAGTTAATTGTTTACATCTCTCAATGTATATTATTCATTGTATATTTTATTGGCTGATCTCTCTGAAGGAGTTTTTCTGCAAGACTTTGCTCTAATACAAAGAGCTTTAAAATTTTGGAGTACTTGTTGCTCCAAAAAAGATTCAAAGACAGTATCTTTTCAACACTTGGGACCTCAGTTATATCTTAAACAGATCGTGGCACAGAAAAATTCCAATAAGAATGGATAGTTGGGGCTGGAGAGATGGCTCAGCCGTTAAAGGCTAGGCTCACAATTAAAAATATTAGAGTTCAATTCCCAGCAACCACATGGTGGCTCACAACCATTTGTAGTGGAACCTAGAGCCCTCTTTCGAATTACAGGTGTACATACAAAAACTGGTTTACTTTTAATGACTCTCAAAAGTTGTTAGGAGATATTAATTGGCTAAAACCTCATCTTAAGCTTACCATAGGAGAACTTAAACCTCTGTTTGATATTCTCAAGGGAGATAGATAGAAGTCCTAATTCCCCTTGACAATTAACCGATGAAGGAGGAACAGCTGTGCAGAAAGTAGAGCAAGCTGTTAGTTGTCAACAGATACATTATATAGATAGACTGTGATCATTTGTTGGCTGTTTGCATTATTGCTACTCATGTGCTCACAGCAGCCCTTTGACAAAAGAAACCATTAATGTAGATTCATCCTTCTTCATCTACAAGTAAAGTT